GCTTGGGGGCCTGGACCTCCTGCCCTGCTCCCCAGGGCTTGACTGAGAACATGGTGGTGGAGCCTGAAAGATTTTTAAGGCCCAGGGGTAAGAATTCAAGTTCTTGAGAAAGAGCCCCCTGGCTGCGGGGAAGTGGGAAGCCGGAGACGGGGGTTTGGGTCTTCTGTGTGATCCCCGTGGACGTGATGTGGCCAGGACTCCGGCCGGGGTGGTGGGCGGCTGAGATGCAGACAGATGGCCGAGGGGTTCGGGCGGTTAGAGTCAGGGGGCTGGATCCGGGAGGTGGGCTGCCCCTGAACAGCCTGGACAGGCGTGGCTGTGCCGTGGAGGGGAGCGCAGCGGCTCCTGTCCTCCCCCCCTCCCCCCCAGGAAGAGCAGCGAGGAGGCCGTGCGGGAGCGGCAGCAGGTGGTGTCCCTGGCCGCCATGCGGGAGCCCAGCCTACTGCGCTTCTACGTGTCCCGGGAATGGCTCAACAAGTTCAACACCTTCGCCGAGCCGGGGCCCATCACCAACCACACCTTCCTCTGCTCCCACGGAGGTGAGGGCGCCTTCTCGGGGGTCGGGTGCAGGGCGGGCGGGCCGAGCCCCCACCTCTCCCTCCCTGCGCCTTCCTCCCCAGGCATCCCGCCCAACAAGTACCACTACATCGACGACCTGGTGGTGATCCTGCCCCAGAACGTGTGGGAGCACCTGTACAGCAGGTAGGGAGCCGAGGCCGCCTCTTCCAGGCAGCAGCCCGTGTGGGCCCGCAGGCAGCTGGGCCGGAGAGGAGAGCGGGCAGGGCTGCCCAGGTCCCCACACCCAGCAGATGGCATGGGGCCGTGCAGGGCTTCCCTTGCAGCCGTGTCCGCACTGAGAAAGGTGCCTCTGGTGGGCACCACCCTGGCTCTACAGAAGCCAGCACATCGGCCTCTCACAGGTAGTCCTGTGGGCGCCGCTGCAAGGCAGCAGGCCGGTCCCTTCCCCACCCATGCCCAGCTCAGGTGGCCTAGGGCTCGTGCTGCCCGGGCCCGCTGGGTTCAAGTTCATCAGGACCAAGAGCCTGTGTCCCTTTGAGGACCTGCCCAGGCCCAGGTCCCCCCTGTAGCCGGGAAGGCAGGACATGCCACGGCCTGGAGAGAGGGTCAGACGGGTGTGGAAGGCGAGGCCGAGGGGTCCTGGCTGCCCGGCCTCCTGCTGGACTGGCTGGGCCCCATCCACTTGCAGTCAGTGCAGACCCTGCCCTGTGGGTGGGACAGAACCCCACAGGGAGTGCGCCCTAAATCCTGTGGGACCCGTGCTCCCGCCTGCAGAAGGACCTGCAGCCCTGCAGGGTCCAGCCGGACAGGCTCAGCCCCACAGCCCCTGCCCAGTGGCCAGGAGCAGAAGTGGACGTTGGTGTGTCTTTGTGACGCACCGGCCTGGGTGGGCGCCCTGCGGGGACTGGGCACGCTGGCACGTGGAGTAAACAGATTGGGCCAGGGGACCCAGGGAGCAGTGCCAGGGGGCCTCCTGGGACAGGAGGGCTGCCAGCAGAGAGCAGTACCACTCTCCAGGCCTGCCCTCCGGGACCTCCCTCAGGGTTGTGTTTCTCTCTGCCCCCTCCCCCTCCTCCTCCCGCAGGTTCGGGGGCGGGCCTGCTGTGAACCACCTGTACGTGTGCTCCATCTGCCAGGTGGAGATCGAGGCGCTGGCCAAGCGCAGGCGGATTGAGATCGACACCTTCATTAAGGTGCATGGGGTGTGGGTAGCCGGCCTCCGGCCTCCGCTGGTCACGTGGGGACTCGAGGACAAGCCAGAGGCCCTGCGTGGAGGTTGTGCTCTGTGGGGGATCAGAGTGGCCGGGCCAGGCCCACATCGAAGGCCGTACTGGCAGGGGGTTGGGTGTAAGTTCAGGCCCATCTATCTGCCTGGTGAACTGTGAGCAGCTGGTAAAGGAACGAGGTGCTGCTGTTTGGGGCTGGATGGTTCTCTCTCTCTCTCTTTTTTATTTTTAAAAATATGTTTTTATTGATTTCAGAGAGGAAGGGAGAGGGAGAGAGAGAAACATCAAAGATGAGAGAGAACCATTGATCGACTGCCTCCTGCACGCCCCCCACTGGGGATGGAGCCCGAAACCTGGGCGTGCCCTGACTGGGACTTGAACTGTGACCTCCTGGTTCATAGGTTGATGCTCAGCCCCAGGCCATGTCGGCTGGGCTGGATGGGTCTTTATTGTGGGGGCTTGGGGCCATGCAGCAGTGGAGGGCTGGGCAAAAGACGCTGAGGCACTCCGTGCCTGTGGCCATGGAGACAGGATAGGGTCCGAATAGTCCGAATAGAGCCAGTTCTGTCAGGAGGGAAACAGCCTCGGCCATGTGATCTCAGCTGAGGTTTTCAAAAGTGACGGAAAAGAGGTTCACCCAAGGGTTAGCGGCCGTCCTCCGGGCAGCGGGTCCGGGACGTCTACTTTCCTTGAACATCTGGGAGTTTAAGTCTCCTACCTGCGAGTCTAGTGGTGTGTGGGAGTGAAGCTGGCTGGGCGGGTGTTGGGGTGTCCATGCTGACCCCCCTCTGCCCCTGTGCCCCCGCCGTCCAGCTGAACAAGGCGTTCCAGGCCGAGGAGTCGCCCGGCGTCATCTACTGCATCAGCATGCAGTGGTTCCGCGAGTGGGAGGCCTTTGTCAAGGGGAAGGACAACGGTGAGTCCAGCAGGGCTCCGGCACCAGCGGGGCAGGGGGCCTTGGGCTGCGGACCCCCGAGGAGTGGGCGTGTCCCGAGGAGGGCCCCGAGTCTGCGCTGGCCCAGCAGGTGTTTGGTGCCACCCCTTTAGGTGCCGCCCTCCCCTCCCAAGTGCGCAGAGAAGGCAGGTGCTCCCGCAGCTGCCCCGCCCACCAGGCTGCCCATAGGGGCCGGGCCGCTCTGCCCCTTCCCTCCCGCCTCTCCAGCTGATGCCCGAGGAGGCTGCTGCTCCCTCCTGCCCGCCCTCTCCTTTGGGGATTCTGTTACTCCACATCAGGGCTGGGGAGCCTCTTTTCTGCCAAGGGCCAATCGGCTATTTATAATGTCCTTCGCTTAATATCTCACTCACTAGAATGCTGGGAGGTCCCAGGACGTCCCTGTGCGGGGCTGGGGCCTCTCGGCCGCCTGCGGGTGAGCATCTGGTGCCCTGGTCCTCACCTGTGAGGACTCACACTGGACCCCGGGGCCAGGATGGCTTCTGGGGCCCCAGGGGTGGAGGCACACCTCGAGGCTCGCTCTTACCTGCCTGGGGAGGGTCCCGGTGGAGGCGGGCACTGGTTCTTCCCGCTGGGCAGCAGCGCTGAGCCCGGGCCCTGTCTACTCAGAGCCCCCCGGCCCCATTGACAACAGCAGGATCGCGCAGGTGAAAGGCAGCGGCCACATCCAGCTGAAGCCGGGTGAGTCTCGCAGCAGCCCCGCTCCCCCTGCCCGCGGGCTGTCAGCCCCGTCCTTCCCCAGCCCCTGCGTCTCTCTGCTGGCCTCGCCTGCCTGCCCCTCCTGTGGGCCCCACCCTGGGTCCTCCGAGAATGGAGGTTGTGCTATTTGCACAGAAGCCCGTGGTCGCCCTCCCGCCCTGGGGGCCCGGCCCTCCCAGAGCCCCCACTGCCGGGACCGTGGTTCCCTGGGGGGAACAGGGGCTCAGGGTGTGAGGGCAGCACCCGCTCTGACAGCCGCCTCCTGGGCCCCGCAGGCGCCGACTACGGGCAGATCTCCGAGGAGACCTGGGCCTACCTGCACAGCCTGTACGGCGGTGGCCCCGAGATCGCCATTCGGCAGAGCGTGGCCCAGCTGCCGGACCCCGACAGCCTGCACGGGGAGCAGAAGATCGAAGCCGAGACCCGGGCCCTGTGACCTCCGGGCCGCTCTGTGAGCCCCTCCTCCTTCTTAGAGACCCTCTCGTGTCCCTGAGCCTGGGCCCCTGAGCACACCTCCAGGAGGCGCTGGGAGGACCTGGCTGGGCCCGGCCTGTGCCCTCCTCCCTGCGGAGGGCGTTT